CGTTTGAGATTTTTTAGTGTGCAACATTCTTCATGTGAAGATTTCTTTTGAGGAGAAAACTTCCAACAAAAAACAAAAACAAAAACAAAACAAAAAACAAAAAAAAAAACGAAACAAAAAAATTTGTCTTCCATTCTCTCAAGTACTTTTCCGGTGTATGTTTTACATTTTATTTTGATTTTATGGCACTTGTTCTCTTTTCCATCGCCCGATTTCCTCCCAAACTCTTTTATTTCACGACCTTTTCTTTTATTCTTATTTTTACCTTAAAAGAATAGCTTTTCACTAACATTTTTATATTTTTTTTCATGTCTAATTTTCTTGTTTGCATATCGACGCATTCTTCTTTATTTCACTCCCCAGTCACTCTTTCTTCTGACTGCTTGCCTTCCATCTATCATTTCTTCTTTATTTCTTTCTTTCTTTCTTTCTTTCTTTCTTTCTTTCTTTCTTTCTTTCTTCTTGCGTTTCCATAAATCTTCAATTTTTCAACAGACGAATAAAGAAGTTCTCAGTATTATCAATTGCACAAAGTTAGCAACATCTTAGAAGTGTATATTCAAATCTATATTACATTGCTTGCATAAAAGTGATCATTTTTACTTTACGTTGGGGAAATTATGGCCGAATATAAAATGTGCATATAACACAGTTGATGTTTGTGAAGTGGCCCCGCTTGAGAAAGTTTCAGTCTCTAGTTCTTTGTGCATAGGTAATCGCTAAAAGTTTGACATTTTTTCAATGTCTTTTCAGATATTTCAAATTTATGATGAAATCACTTCACCAGCGAAAAAAAATACTTTAATTTATTTTCTTAAAAGAGACACACCCTTTCAGTTTCCTTCAATTTTGGTTCGTGAAAAGTAAAATGGAAATGTGTCTTTGGCTGTCTCCGAGATAACCATGTGCAAATATATATATATATATATATATATATATATATATATATATATAATAAAAAGAAACAATTTATACAAAGAATTAAATAACAATGTTATGATTAATGGTGAAATCACTTCACTGACAGAACTTTAGGAGAGAGTAACTTACTATCAATTTCTTGAATAATAAGATCCTTATATTCGAGTTGCTAAGTACTTTCGACAATTTCAAAATTGTTATCTTCAGGGTGCAATTTTCCCATACATAGGCAAACAATAAGTCGAAATATGATGTTTTGCATAAATTGTTTCTTTATGATATAAAATATAAGCTGAACACTAATATATATATATATATATACATATATAAACGCACAAACACACAGACACACATATATATATGTAAGAGAATCAAAATTAACATTAAATAAGTTATCTTTCTCTATAGGGATCATATATTGAAGTGTGTTAATTCACAAAACTTTCAGTTTGATGGTTTAAGCGTGAGAAGGCAGGAATTAAACAAAAGCAGTTGTGTAAGTCTACACAGAACAATCCTTGAAAACAAATGGAGTAACATTAGAAAGGCCATCGGCAAGAAAATAATATAAATTAAAATAAATATGAACTTTGGCAGATTTACCAATAACACAAAACAAATAAGTCTGAAATTTAAAAAAAAATTAATAAAAAATTGATAGATCTATCTATCTATCTATCTATATCAGTCTGTTATATCTATCTATCTATCTATCTATCTATCTATCTATCTATCTATCTATCCCAGTCTGTTATATCTGCATCTATCTGTCTATCTATCTATCTATCTATCTAGATAGATGGATAGATGAATAGATAGATAGATGAATGAATGTGTGAGAGAGAGAGATAACTATAAGCCAGACTCTTATGAACTGAAACAAGAGAGAGAGAGAGAGACAATTAACACATAAAGAGAAACAGATAGATACGAACAAAGATAGTTGCATAGTGACTTACATACTGAGAAGATAGCAAAGAAAAGAGTGAAATGAAGTAATATAAATACAAAAGAAGTATATAAACAGACCGCTATATATATATATATATATATATATATATATATATATATATATATGTGTGTGTGTGTGTGTGTGTGTATATATATATATATATATATATATATATATATATATATATATGTGTATATATATATATATATATATATATATATATATGTATATATATATATATATATATATATGTATGGGGCGATGGATAAATTGTCATTAAATTATAAAATGAATGAAAAAAGAACACTGACATCACATTTTTAACATATATTTACCAAATTACCAAAATATCTTGAAATATTAATGGTAAATGTATTCAATAAAATCGCCATTAGCTAAACATGGCCTTAGCGACTTCTGAAGTCAATTTTAAGCCAAAGACGAATTTTATTGAATAAATTTACTCTTTAATATTCAAAATATATAATCATATTTAAGTTAGTAGATGCTGCTATAATTCTTTGGTGTTACAAAAAGTTTTGAATCTCTTGCTCAACTCACCCCACACATCACAATCAAAGGAGGTTTACAGTTTGGGGGTTAAGGTGGTCAGATGTAAGGAGACATTTAGTCGGAGAATTGTCGGACAGTCATGTTGCCTTTAACGTGGCATGGTGCAGAGTCTTGTTGCCAGACAATGGCCAATTTCTTGACTCAGGGCAGCCTTACCTCCTCAAAGGGGTATAACCATCAAAGTATGAGGCCCTGTAGAAACATGAATGCACTCACCTCTCGCTTGTGGAACTCCCTCCTCTTTTCCTGTTTCCCTGATAGTTTATAATCTCTCCAACTATTCGAATGTAATGTCAATCGACGTCTCCAGATGCCTTGATCTATCCCCTATCCTTCTCTTCATCCTTTCCTCTATCACTCCCTGTTTGCTCTCGCTCCTAATCTCTGTAACCCCCCTGCGTGCAAGTGGCTTCCCTTGCTTGTGGTGAAACAACTTATAAATATATATATATATATATATATATATATATATCGGAATCAGGTCCCATAAGTTCTGTCCAAATTTTGAATAAAAAACAAGTGACCAAATGTTACAATGCAGATTCAATCAACAATGTATTTTCCCTGATTATCTATGATATATATAAATATATATGTTAAGAAATGGACGAGGTCCGACAATTTATTTATTAAAGACATTTTTATTTATGTTTAACGTTGTTATTTTATAGATACAAGTATTTAAGCAAATGCTCTGTTTATGATAAACAGTGATAAATAACATTTACCGGCCTGAATGTCCGAAAATTTTCATAAGAAAATATTCGTTCATGAACAAGAGATTCGAACCTGCATCCTACCCGGAACCGTCATATACGCTGACGTGCCTTAACCACTCCCCGCCTACCATGAACCTGATGGTAGAACCAGGTCGAATTTACTGTTATAAACTACAATCTCCATGAATCTCGTACATTCATAACTGCTCTACGGCGTATCGAATGTAAAACAAATGACGTCGCCCATGTTAAGAAATGGACGGTCAAACAATTTATTTATTAAAAGACATTTTTATTTATGTTTAACGTTGTTATTTTATAGATACAAGTATTTAAGCAAATGCTCTGTTTATGATAAACAGTATTAAATAACGTTTACCGGCCTGAATGTCCGAGAAATTTTCATAGAAAATATTCGTTCATAGACAAATTCGAACCTGCATCCTATACGGCCGGTAAGTAAATTCAAGGCCGGTAAGTATTTAATACCATTTAACAAACATTCATTCGATACGCCAGAGCAGTTATGAATGTACGAGATTCATGGAAGGTTGTAGTTTATAACAGTAAATTCGACCTTGTCTACCATCAGGTTCATGGTGGCCGAGTGGTTAAGGCACGTCAGCGTATATGACGGTTCCGTATAGGATGCGGTTCGAATCCTGTCTATGAACGAATATTTTCTATGAAAATTCTCTCGGACATTCAGGCCAGTAATGTTATTTAATACTGTTTATCATAAACAGATTTGCAAATACTTGTATCTATAAAATAACAACGTTAAACATAAATAAAATGTCTTTAATAAATAAATATATATATATATATATATATATAGGTCTAATAATTGGATCATGATTACGATTCAAATGTAATTATTATTACCATGGAATATTAGTATTTGAGCCTTATATATATATATATATATATATATGGAGAGGCACAGTTTGGCTAAAAAAACATGATTTTGTAGATGGAAAAAGGATGAAAGTTCCTGTAAGGCATATATTTTTTTTAGTTGAACTATCAATTCATGCCAGTTGTTAATAATTTTCTGTTTCATATAAAAAAAAAAACCAAACAGGGATTGCAAGCAAATGTATTAACAACACTAAAAGTAAGATTTATAGTTTAAAAAAGAAATGTATGTTGAATGATAGAAAGTTAGAGAAAAAAAGGGCTGGAAAAGATAGAGTGAAATAGTGACAGAGGTAGGGAGACAAAAACAGAAATAGTGATGAAGAGAAAGAAAAGAAAGAGAGAGAGGGGGGAGAGAGAAGGAAAAAAGATAAAAAAGAAAGCAAAGGAATACAAAATCAAAATAAGAGAAGAATGAAGAGATATGCAGAAGATGTAGAAATAATTAAAGGAAGTAAAAAACCGAAAGAGATAAGTACTGCAGAGAGAAAAGAGAGAGATGATGAGAGAGAGAGAATGAGTGAGAAAAGACAGTGAGTGAGAGAGTTGGGAGAGGGCAGAGAAAACAGAGAGAGAGAGAGAGTGAAAGAGAGAGAGAACGAAAGAAGAGAAAGGAGAGAGAGAGAGGGGAGGAGATGACGGAAAGCAAAATAAAAAAATGCAGAGCGAGATAATAAACCTGTTCAAAGAAAAGAAAGGAAAGAAAAAAAAGAAAGAAAAGAAAAGAATGAAAATTCGAAACAAAATAACGAAGGAAAGAACGACAGAGAAAAGATTTCAAAAGAAAGAGGTGAAAAATAATTGAAAAAAAAATGAATAAAATGAGAAAATGACGACAGAAAGAAAGGCAATGAAAAAATACCAAAAAAGAAAGATTTTATGAAATTGAATGAAAACAGAAAAAAAAAAAGAAGTTCAAAGCATGTATGGCAGAGAGAAATAAAAAAAAAAAGAAACGACATAGAGAGAAAGAGGAAGGGAAGAGAGAGAGGGAGAGGGAGGAGGAGAGGGAGAGAGAGAGAGAGAGACAGACAGACAGGCGTACATACCTCCTCCCAGAGTGAAATAAAAGGAAAGAAAAATAATTAATAAATAGAATGAAAAGAAGGAAAAGAAAAAAAGAACAATTACCCAAAAAAAAGGCAACTGAATTAAAAGAAGCAATATATATAGCGGGATAGATAAATAAATAGATAGGTCTGAATAAACTGAGATAGAAAGATAGATACATACATATAACCAAACGAAGATAGATAGATAGATAGATAAAGAATAGATGAAATATATATTGTAAATAATGTGATAAATAGTTATAAAAAGTGACTGAGTTAGATAGATAACAAGACTGAGTCAGATATACATATATAAACAGGGAAAAAAGGAAAGAGAATAGGAAAGATATTATCAGAAATTAGAATGAGAAAAGGAAAGCAACAGATAGACAGACAGATAGATAGATAGATAGATAGATAGATAGATAGATGACCAAACAGAGATAGATAGATAGATAGATAGATAACCAAGCAGAGATAGATAGATATATGACCAAAGAGACAGACAGACAGATAGATAGATAGATAGATAGATAGATAGATAGATAGGTAGATAACCAAACAGAGACAGACAGATAGATAGATAGATAGATAGATAGATAACCAAACAGATAGATAGATAGATAGGAATAAAGTAAAATGGAGGTAAACCCACAGAACACAGATCTATCTATCTATCTATCTATCTATCTATCTATCTATCTATCTATCTATCTAGTGAATGAATGAGTAGTGGAATAGAAAATAGATTTGTTACTCCATTGACGCTATTTTTTCTTTACTTCTATATCGTGATCCGGACCAGCACCGTTCCTCTGTAGCTCCATTTTTCATAAAACAAAATCAACTGGTTTAGTTAAGAAAAAAAGAAGTCATTTTGAACTCCGAAAATAAATTAAGATCAAACGATATTTCCTTTTCAAAGAATGAATACAGACCCCAATTACAACAATAAATAAATGATTGTATTTTATTCTCGTGAGATAAGAAAATTTTGTTCGATAATTGTTTTCCGTGTAAAATGTTTCACCAAAGAATTTCTAATTACAACTATTTATGCAGGTTGTGATATCATCGGTAGGATTTATTGAAATTTCGTAAACTTGGTTTAGTAGGACACAAAAAAGATGGTGTAGAGTAATATCAATAAGAGAGATTTGATTTTGCCGGTGGGTAGTAACACTTGCACTGAAAATCAGCGTTCGTTATCCTAGTTCTTATTGTAGTTCGAATACCACTAGGTATTTACACTGTCTCCTCACTAAGACATATTGTGACGTAAGGTCTTTTTTTTAAGGTGGGGGACCCGAGCGCGTACACCCGGGCTAGGAACAAAAATTGCCCGCTGACCCCGCAACCGTCGGTTGTGCTGTCTTCGGTGTGAGCACCGATCCCTCTCTCTCTGGTGCAATGAGAGGGTGCGGCCTCGGGCAGCTTTTCCCCAGGGCTGGGCACCTCTCAGTATAATTTTTCTCAGTTACGACTCTGTCCTTCCTTCGAACAATACTAAAATTTCCAGTTTTATATAAACCTTTCCAGTTGAAGTAAAGTACAAATAGGGTTTGGTTTGGTTTGGTTTACGGCATATCAAACTCAATGGGTTATTTAATGCCGACAAGATTTCTATTGCTGGTATTATTATTTTTTTTACAAAGTATTTCTGGTATTAAAACCTATTTTTACACTTTCATCGTGTTTTGACCCCAGTTTTGCAGTTAACTATTTACCCATAGCTGGGACCCTAACAGGTGTTACCACCCCGGGTCAGGAAAAACAGCAATTAATAGGGGATTCCACGCTCCTCAAAACCTCCTGATCAGAGGTCTTGCTGTTGGACGTAATTTATCGTCATACCCAGGACGCGGATGTAGTTTATCGTCTTACCCAGGACGCGGATGTAGTTTATCGTCATACCCAGGACGCGGACGTAGTTTATCGTCTTACCCAGGACGCGGATGTAGTTTATCGTCATAACCAGGACGCGGATGTAGTTTATCGTCTTATCCAGGACGCGTATGTAGTTTATCGTCATACCCAAGACGTCTACAAAGAGGAGGTCTTAGCACTGGTCGGTCATTTAAAGCGGAACAAATTAAGAGAAACGGTAATGATAATGGCAAAAGAAGTAATTCCGAGTTTAAAAAATGTAGACCATAAAACAATATAAAATTTCCCGACTTGAAGATGGACATGTAGTAACTGAATGCTAAGGAATGACGTCCATATATGCGGTTAAAGTGTTAACATACACCGGGATCCGATTTCACCGGTTGGACAACTCATCATCGCGTTCTGTTTCGATTCTCGTTCGCTTCAGTGTGTTCAAAAGCTGTGAAAGTGTCAGTTCACGTTCACAGGGAAACGAAAGGCCAAAATATCGCTACGTTGAGATATGAAAACGCGAATCGTTTTTCAAATATAGTTGGTTATTTATTCCTGGATTCGCTTGGCCAGGTCAGAGGATAGGTAGGATAGAATTGGGACGTCTTCGCTGTTATTTCTGTTCTCACCAACAGCAGACCAGATCTTCTGACTTCTCCAACGGCGGAACAGATCTTCCCTTTGGCGAGCACTGCAGAGGATCCGATCGAAACGAAAATGGCAACACCCTTAAGAATTCATTGTAATTATTCCTAGAAAAATGGTAATTTTCAATCGTTCCGAAAACGTGTCAGCGCAGCCAGGCAAAATGTTATAACAAAGCGGGCGTAGAAGTGTTTGACAAATTACTACAATGTTTAGATCGACGAGAAAACTGAATCAAGAATCGAAAAGACGGTCCCTGATACGGTCCCAAATCGGAACAGACGTCTTTGATGTGAAGACACAACTAGTAAATGTAGATTTAATCAGTTTCGAGAAAAGTGAGGTATGATTATTAGTATTTTGATGAGATTTCTTATAATTTCTTTAATTAAAAAGACATGCCCATTGAGAAATTAAGCGATCATGGCTCTCCATACGTCCCTTTCGTTTATTACTTGTTAATTGCTATAATTTCTTAAGGAAGTTGCTTCTTGTTGACTTCATGATTTTTTTTAAATTAACAAATTTTATTCTTTTATATCTAGAGAACTCAGTCTACACTGCTATTTAACCCTTGGCTGGTCGAATAAGAAGTGCATTTGTGCCGTTTCCAAGGGTATTAGTACAAAGTGATTACAATAGGAACTTGGACTGTACTCGGACTCAGCTTGATTCCACTTTCCGAGCAGATAACCGTTATGTTAGTCGTACATGCGTCGAATCATGACATCTCCCATGAAAAACGCAAAAATGCAGTAAATGCTGCCTTTGGGAAGAAAGAGCTAAAACTATAAGGCACCCGTCGTTAGTGAATGTAGAGGGTAGGAACGGCTAAATAATTAGAATTGTGCAAACGATTTCCGTTCGACCAGCTAAAGCAATAGTTCTGAACCTTTTTTTTTAACCATTGGTCACTTTTACTCTTAAGTTTTTATGGGTTGTCTCCGATATTCATTCGATGAAAAAAAAAGCTTATTTTACTTTTTTTGCTAATAGGTAAGTTTAAGAATTTTATTATAGAAATAGTAAATTTGTATGCTTTATTTTAAAGTAAAACTAATTTCATGAAAATAAACTTGTATTGAACAACAAAATTCGATGGAACATTTATATACACTAGTACATACATAGGCCCTCAGAATGGTTGGTTTTGCCGAAAATTGCTTCTGCTGCTGAAGAGGTTAATCCTTACTTCATATATAATCCTTATATAATCCTTCCTTTATATATAATCCTTATACAGGGTGTCCTAAAACAATGTATACACTCTTTGAATCGTTATAACTTATTCAATTTTTGTATTTTGACTTGTAAATAAGATTAATACAAGAGAAAGAATACACATTTAAAGAATTTGAGAGTAAAATATACAAAAACAAAAAACAAAACAAAAAACATGGAAAATAAACTTTAATAAGATAAAAGCTACTTGGGGCAATGGCGGAATGTTCATATAATGATGAATTCACATCAAATGCTCAAAATGGTTACCGTTCTGTTCAATGCACTTTTCTTATCTTGAAGAAATAGACCTACAAACGTCCAGAATCATGTCCTCTGGTATTTGAGCACATTCTTCTTCAATTGCTACTATCATTTCAGCAACTGTTTCAGGTTTCCTGCCGTAAGCATTGTCTTTTAGAAACCCCCACAAAAAGAAATCCAAGGGTGTCAAATCTGGTGATCTAGGGGGGTATTCAACTGTCCCTCTTCTTCCAATCCATCTGTTTTGCATATTTTCATCCATTTAAATTTTCACATCTCGGTAATGTATTATTGACTGTTAATATTTAAAGAGTGTATACATTATTTGGGGACACCCTGTATAATCCTTTCTTTATATATAATCCTTATATAATCCTTTCTTTTTATATAATCCTTATATAATCCTTTCTTTATATATAATCTTTATATAATCCTTTCTTTACATATAAGCCTTATACAATTTATATAAAAAAAAGTAATTTGTAATTTGGTGGACATTCAATGGCGGCAACTCGAGGAAAATAAATGTCATAATCAAGATGTTGACTTTGTACAGGTTTCGCTGAAATCCCATATCAATACTGGAAAGAGCCAATAGCATTTAATGGACTTGAGAAACGTGTTTTTCTGAAAAAAATATTGCACTGGCTGTTCGGGCAATGAATACTTAATGTTTCCTTTTGCAAGAACAAGTAGTATTACAATTCCTATAACCATTTGTCATCTAAACCAACTACCTTATTAAAATCATCAGATGGAACATCGAATGTGATGCCGTAATTATTTGTGTAGGACACGTAGTTACCTTTGATTTGATGCCTGAATGTTAGAAGTGCGTACTATACGTGGGAACTTAAGATTTCTGTCTATATTTCTGAGATGAGGCATTGCAACTATATGCATTTTTTACATTGTTAGGTCTGCTGTCCTCATTTCTGCTGTCATATTCACGACATTTCAACCGTCGTCCTGGGTATGACGATAAACTACATTCGCGTCCTGGGTAGAACGATAAACGACGTCCGATAGAAAGGACTCTGATAAGGAGGTTTTGGAACCACCTCTTAATTGCTGGTGTTCCCAGATCCACTCTGACCCTGGGTGGTAGCACCTGTCAGGGTCACAGCTATGGACAAATAGTTAACCCCCCCAAACTGGGGTCAAAACACTATGGAAGTGTAAAAATATGTTTTAATACCAGAGATACTTTTTTGTAAAAAATTATTACCAGCAATATATTATTAACATTAATGCATTTTTTAAAAAAATGTTACCAGCTATATATTTTGAGAAAAAATATTACCAGCAATAGATTTTATGAAGAAAAATATTACCAGTAATAAAAATTGTCAGCATTAAATAATCCATTGTGGTTGATATACCGTAAAACAAAACAAACCGAAAGCGAAACATTTCAGCCGTTGTACACTCCGGTCTTCTTCAGGCGATTGGAATTTCGATATCTCAGTTGAAACTGAAATTCAGACATCCGGAAGAGGCATGGCGCGTGGAACTAGAACAATCTACCCTGATAGACGAAATAAAGGGTTCAGTTGGAAGTTATAATCACCTGAAGAAGGCCGGAATTGGGAATATAAGAAAGATGAGGACATTAGTCCGAAAAATGTAAATAATATAAATAGAACTAAAAAATA